ATTGTATATAGTTATTTTTTTAATGAAATGAATACATTTTTTGAATTTAATTGAATTATTTTATGTTAATTTTTTGTACTTAATTTGCTACAACTAATTTCGTTGTTTTTTTGTTTTTTTTTTATTGCCAGAATCAAGAGCAGACTTCATCTACATGAACTCATCAGTGTACAGAAATGGGACAAGTTTCGTGGAGTCACTGTTCGAGTCATTTGGTGTGTTTGGGTTTGGGTGCTCATCTCTTCTTCATGTGTGGAAAGTTTGTATCTGAATGWAGGTTTTTGCTCTCTTTCTAGACTGTGAGCTTAAAGGCCTGAAAGATGTTACAGATGAGCTCAAAGACGACAAGTTCACAAAAAGTGTCTCTTTAAAGCAGGCAAGTGGAGTAAAAAGTATATTTATGTTCTGCTCTGATAATTTATAGGTTTATTAGCTTAAATCTCTGAGGTAAAATGACGATGTGTGTGTACGATGAATGCTATGAGGGTTTTTTTTCCCCCTCAGCTCTCAGTCTCCAGTTCCAACATGACAAATGACTATTACACCTCTTTACAATGACTTATGGAGACAGGGCAGTAAAAAACACACAGATCGTATTCCATGGATGTGGGGTTTTCCCATGTTCACATGCTCATCGCTCTGCGTTTGGTCGGAAAACCGAGCATTCAGGGGTCCACCCTTGTGTTTAATTTATGGAAATCATTTACTCCAGAGGTTTATATTCTGTAAGTCTTTGGCTTTGAACAAGGATTTAAAAGAAAAAAAACCTCTTGGGAAAACCTAAAAGTTTGTTTGTGTTCATGCATCTCCCTCCTTCGCAGAGCTGCGCAGACTCCCCTCCCCCGCTGCCCACAACGCCTCCTCCTGAGGAGTACTACGAGGAGGCCGTGCCCCTTGGTCCTGGCAAGATGCCCGAGTACATAATCACTGCACGAGGTCAGCACGCTCCCCCACCTCAGCTCAACTCTCTGACCTTAATGTCAGTTTTCTGTAAACCTCTGAATCAGTACTTAAAATGATCGTGGCCACAGAGAAATTTGTTGCAAACATAATTACAAAGCGGGCTTCAGCGCATGAAGGAGCATGGGGTAACATTTGCATTGCTTCTATTTCCAGACAGGCCCAGCCCTCCCAACTCTATTGAAGATGGCTATGAGGAGACAGAAAACCCCTACCCGACCACCTGCATGAACTCGCATCGCAAGAACTCCTGTGAGCCACAGTGTGTTACAGCAGAGTTTCTTAACCTTTTTGACCTCGGGGCCCAATTTGTTCAACATAAACTGACATGAGGTCCAGTCACATATTACCATACGGATCAAAATGATAATTATTCTAAATCTTGGTTTAGTTTGTATTGTATTTGCATTATAACTAAATAAAACACACTTACAGTTTAAAAGTAAAACTCCTGTCAAATAATCACAAGACATGATAAGACAAACATTTTTTATATTAACTTGCCCACAACAATTATTTGAACAAATACAACAGTCAGTCAACAGACCACTCAGGCTTATCAACACAAAAAAACAACACTTTTTAAAACAAACAACAACAAAAATAGACAATTCAATAAATAAAATTGTGATCATAAAATAAATACATTCAAAAATATTTCATGTGAATTTTTCAAAAAAAAAAACCTAAAAATAAATTTGATAAAGTACAAATGAAAATAAAGCCCTTTTAAACTTTTGCATGGTAGAACCAGAAGCTGCTTTTCATATTAGTGACAAACAATAACAGTAACAACAGCTTTTTGACAAAATGCTTAAAAATAAATTACAAAAAATAATTTGATAAAGTGCAAATTAAAATATAGCTTCATCGGCAACTGTATTTGATAGTGTTATGAACTTCTAAAATATTGCATGGTAGAACCAGAGGCTGCTCTTCATATTAGTGACAAACTTTGGCATTTTTTAAAGAGTTACCTTCATTTTTGCTTCTACTTTTAATTTAAAACAGGTTTCCATTCGCGGCAGTTTTCTAAGGTTCTTCATCTACGTATTAAAAAAAAAGTTGTTAAACATCTGACTGGCACACTACCGCTACTAGTGGTGAGAAAGTGTATTGCACATTATTCAAAATCAATGCGGTCCCACGGCCCTTTGCGGCCCAAAGTTAAAAACTGCTGTTCTTTTGAGGCCCTCAAGGTGGCGCTCGGCYGCGGCCCATAGGTTAAGAATCTCTGTGTTACAGTATTCCAAAGCTGCTTCTTTTGCATCTAATAAAAACCTTTTATTGTCTGTATTGTTGCGCTGTCAGACAATGACTCTGATGCACTGAGCAGCTCCTATGAGTCCTACGAGGAGGATGAAGAGGAGAGGAGTCCTGGAGTCCGACTCACTCACCAGTGGCCCTCAGATGAGAGCTCTATGTCTCCGGCCAGAGACTGTCGTATCTGTGCCTTCCTGCATCGGAAGAAACGCTTTGGCCAGTGGGACAAACAGTTCACAGTAATACGGGAGAACAGACTACAGGTGAGACGTTATCCACTCACACGTGATAAAGTTTTTCTGTTTTAATTTTTCTGCTGTTTTTACAAAACATTTTGTGATCCCTTTGACATTTTTAATGAAACTTCTAAAAWAATGTACATCTACGACTGACTAACTTTTAGAGTAGACCCAATTAAAGATGGCTGCCACAACAACGCAAACCTGGCAAACACAAAATGGCTACAACTCAGTCAGTTTCTAAAGATATTGAGATTCTCCAACTTGTACTCTGAGTTCTAATTAGTCATGCAAGGTACTTTTTTGTGTGTTTTTATTACTATTGAAGTCATTCCTGATGGTTATTGAAATATTTCTTGAACCACTTGATGGGTTTTGATGCAACTTTCAGAAAGTAATCTACAACTTTGAAGTCAAACCAATGCCAGACACAGAATCAAACCAAGCAAACACCAAAATGGCTATATCTCTGTTATTTTTGCATATAATAAACTACAGTTTAGTTTGGTAGTTACTGATGGTACGCTTTAAACCTCCTTTGAACTCTGAGCCCTCTATGGCTATGATCACACTGAAGGCAAATACGACCAAATTCAGATTTTTTTTGCCAGATGTGACCCCTATCAGTTTTTTAATGACAGTCTGAACTTGACAAATCTGATCTTTTTCTTTTCTTTTATTTCAACCTAGACCTTTTCAGTATGTGGTACTGAATTGGAAACATACGTTTTTCAAAGCGACAATGCTCGTGTCACATTTCATTTATCGTATTTATTGATGTATAATACGATTTCGAGTATAATACGATCATCATTTTTTGAGCTTACAAAGCATAAAAGTCTAACTATCAATAACTTGTGTATAATACTATCTCCCCACTTTATGGATGATTTTTAGGGTTAAATTTCTAGTATTATACATGAATAAATACAGTACCTCTACGAGGTKAGTGGATCGATCCAGTAATAAYGATGCTAACCTCGAGTCAATCTGTTTATATCTTGTACATCTTCAGCCACAGAACAGAAGCCCAGCTGCTTTAGTTTTGTTCTTTTAATTTTCCATGTCCTGGATGACTGAGAATCCACAGAAACAAATGATAGTAACATCCACCCTTTAACTTTTAACACATCGCTTTATTCCAAAAATAAAATTCTGCACCGGGGCATCCGGTCAGAGGCAGGTTCAGATAGAAGCACTGAACTAAAATGTTAGCATGTTAGATAGTTATTTATTCGGCTCTGACTGAACTTCAGAATCTACATGCTAACAAGTAGCATCCGTGTTTAGCTTATTCCGTAAACAGCCAGCTGAATGTGACATCACGTCATCTTCTGCGGTCCGCATCMGTGTCATGCAAAGTTCACACTGGAGTCTGATGGAGGTCGCGTCTAAAACACAAAGTGAATGTTCATGCAAAAAAATCTGAATTGAACATTAAAACCTGCGCTGTAAATGTAGCCTATGTTGTACCGCTTCTTTGTTAATGGTGATGTTGACACTGTATGTCTGTCTGTGAATCAATTGAATGGATTTTAACAAACTTTCAAAGTAATCATTCAGTGCACATCTACATCTCAACCTTAGGTAATACAGAAAGGTCTATAATTTAGTCAAATTTACAGATATTGAGCAAAGGTTTGATGTGGTAGCAGCTGAGAGGCATCCTCAACACACAGACCAAGCACTAACAGATTTTGCAATTTTGCTTGAGATTATTGCAYATCATTATCAAGGTTCAACCAAAATGATATGAGTAGAAAACAACTCAAACATGAAAGACAGCGAATTCTAGGCTTTTAATTCGAAGTACAGTTATGCAGAAAGGTTTGTATAAAAACTGTATCCAAACAATTTTAGGAAAATAGCTTAATTCTGCTCAGATTGATGACCCAACTGCTCAAACTAAAAGATCTGAACTATCTTTAAACTGTATGTTCTGTCTCACACCTTAACTTTTTCATCCTTCTTTGTAGTGCTATAAGAGTTCCAAGGATACATCTCCTTATGTGGACTGGCTGTTGCCCCAGTGCACTGTGGTCTATGTCCCTAAAGACAGTAAGAGGAAGCGCCACGAGCTTAGGTTCACCTTACCCAATGGAGATGCATTGGTGCTGGCGATGCAGAGCAAAGAGCAGGCTCACATGTGGCTAAAGGTAAATACTGTCTTTTTATACCAAATACAAACAAATAACTCTCATCATCAGAGGAATAATTAACCTCACTCTTATGTGAAAATGTCCCCGCAGGTTGTTAGAGAGGTGAGTGGTCACAGCGCAGGGTCTGAAGAAGCCAGGTCCCCTGTTGTTCCCAGAAAAATTGAGCTCGACAAGGTAAGTGTAGACAAGAGGATCATCAAACGTTCCCTGTCATTTTTATTCCCGAGGTATAATTTCACAGCCGAGGTGAGGAAAAGTCTGGCCGAAGTAGCAATTGCGCTGTCACCGTCAATTTTCCCAAACAGTTCTTTTGGCTGAACGCAGCATATAGAGATACCYGTGTTTGGTTTGCAAAGAGAAGAGGAGATATGTTGTATAATTAGGTGTTAAGGCAGCAATGACAGGAGCGGCTGTGAGTCAGAACTTCAACATCCTCTGAAGCTTATGGACCATTTTTCAAACATAAGCTCTGAATGCTTTTGCTACAGAAACACAGAAGAGATAAAGTTGGAATCTTAATATTTCAATATCTACCATCCTTAAATATAATCGATTCACTTTTTATTCATCACACGCAAGTGTAGACAGGTTTCGCTTTCTTTTGAAACAAGTCTACACAGATTCAGGGTGGGATTTGGACTTTCCAGGTGAAAGTCTGTAGCCTTAATTGTGTTTTTGTTTTCTCCACAGAGGTTATCTGCAGAAAGAAACACATCAGACTCAGACAGTGTGGGTGTGTCAGCGGGGGAGAGCAGCAGAGAAAACGGTGAGGAAATTGCACAATTAAAAACAGCAACTCCGGATCTGCCTCACTTTACACCTGCATGTTTTTATCGAAATGTGGCACAATTCACTGATAAGTGAGGGGGGTGATAGAGATGAAAAAGGATTTGTGTTTCAGAAATCCAGTCATGGGGAAAAGGAAAAAAACATCCCCCTTTCTTTCACATTTAGGTTTTATATACCAGGACATTATAAAAATGATAGACCACCATGTCATAATGCATTTAACAAAACAAAGCCAAAATRGATAAGCCTATCTATTGCTTCTATAAGTAGCAGCCTGGTACCATTCAGATATTGAACATCTGATCATTACCAAGGCCCTATGGTGGACTTAGGATTTTATTTTATTTTATTTCTATAAGTAGCAGCCTGGTACCATTCAGATATTGAACATCTGATCATTACCAAGGCCCTATGGTGGACTTAGGATTTTATTTTATTTTATTTTATTTTTAAATTTAATTTAATTAATTTAATTTCATTTTATTTTATTTTATTTTTAAATTTAATTTAA